GGGGGGGGGGCCTTGCAGGAGCCCTGAAGACCCGTTAGTTCCTTCGGGTCCCCGTGAGCGCGCTGGACCAGGGTGGCACCCTTCTGCCCTCCTGCCTTTGAAGAAGCTGGTTGGGAGCTAGGGGCGGTGGTGACCCCCCACCCCGCTTCCAAACTCCAGGGGAACCTCGATATCCCTGTCTTAGGGATGGCAAAGGGCTTGCCCCAGAGCACATCTTTAATATATAAACCAATCAATCCCAAGTCCATGCCCCTGCCACCTCCTTATCTAACTCACACCAAGCCATTATTTCTTCTGCCCTAAGTCATCCCAGGGCCTGATACCAGGTAACTATAGCCCAAAGTCCACAGGAATTATTCAAACTGGCCAATCCCAAACAGAATGCTCTGCCCTGCCTTGCCTTTTCTGCAAAATGCCAATAAAGGCTTTGACCTAGGCCGTCACCAAATAGCTCATTTGGTTAGAGCATTCTCCCAATATGCCAAGGTTGCAGGTTTCATCCCCAGTCAGGGCACATACAAGAATCAACAATGAATGCATAAATAAGTGGAACAACAGATCTATGTTTCTCCTCACCTCTCTCTCTCTCTCCCCTCCATCTCTCCAATCAACAAAGCTTTTTTAAAAAGGCTTCGGCCTAGACTTTCCCCTTACTCCTGTCTTGCATCAAAATCTGGTACTTTCCCTGCGACCCTATGTGGCACTGGTGACCTCTCTGAAATCTGTGAGTATAATAAAGTTTCCTTCAAGCCTCATTCTGGTCTCTAATGGCCATGCCTACTTTACCATATCCAACATGTATATTCATAGAACAGTATAAATTTATTCAACCTCTATAGGAAGCAATTTATCAAAATGCCAAAATTTTAAATTTCAGTATCTGTTAGCCATATCTTTTAACTTGGCATTTCCACTTACAGAAATTTATCTTGTAATTACTCACACGTGAGGTGACAAGTGTAAGACTAATGTAGCATTCCTCCTAAGTCAGATATTAGAAACAGCCTCAAGGTCCACAAAACTGGCTCATTTAAAAGGAGCTCTGTGTGTGCTTTCATGGATAGATTTGCAAGATACGTTCTTAAGTAAAAGAAGGAAGATTCAGAAAAGGAAAAGTGCACTGGTTGAAGACAAAAGCTCTAGTGCCAGACTGACTCGTTGCCAATCCCTGTCTGTACCTGGCAGACCTTAGTAAGACAGGCAAGTTATTGCAC